TTTGATCCCTTTGACACACCTTTTACGGAGTGCAGATGGTGGCTATGAATTTACTAGTAATGGGAAAAAATCTCAACCACTTACTGTTCATGGACAGTATTCAGTGAGGATATGTGGATGGAATTTGGCATTGACAAATGTGCCATCCTAAGTATCGAGAGAGGAAAAAAAACTGTTGAGTTTAAAGGAAAACAATTACCGGATAAAGAATACATGAAGAGGGGGAGAACTATATCTTAGCATTTTACAGGCCGACAAATTAAGGCATACGGAAATGAAAGAAAAATTTAAAGGAGAGTATTTCAGACGTGAAACGAAAATTCTTGAAAGAAAACTAAATGGTGGAAATATCATCAAAGGAATTAATACTTGGTCAATCTCTCTGCCACGCCATTCTGCAGGATTCTTAGACTGGAATGAAACGGAATTACAGAAGAGGTATAGATGAACGCGTAAGTTCATGAATATGCATACGACTCTGAATTGAAACACTGATGTCGAGAGGCTGAATGTTTCAAGAAAGGAGAAGGGAAGAAGGTTAATAAATGATGAAGAACTGTCATTTGGGACTTAAGAATTCTAAGATTTCTTATGAATAGCTTTCGATAGTTGCATGTAGAATGGAGGCGGGTTTGGAAATGTTGTGTCAGTGACTGTAGCAAACAAGCACTGTATGGAGAAGCGACATAACAAGTCAAAACATAAAAACCTTCAAAGTCAGTTTTTTTTTTGTCAACAAAGATAATTGCCAAACCTGAGAGATGGTTGTAGGTAAAAGCTTTTTTTTTAAGCATTACACCCACAAAGCAAGGCGGTAGTTCCACTAGTACGCAAGGAGTTACAGAGAGTGCAAGTAAAATAAAATACTGGGTAGACGTGGGGTGTTGAGGAAAGGATATAAAGAAGAACGGAGATCAAGGCATCAGATGATGTCGATTGGCATTACATTTAAATTGTTGAAGATTATAGTTATCAGGGAAGCAAGTAAGAAGAAGTGCGAAAGAAGTCGGGAAGTTCGAGAGAAGAAACTGCTGGAGTAGAAGAGGCGGTTACATTTAACTGTTTTGATAGTGAAAGGGTGGGACTGAAATGCCAGCCTAGTAGCACGCTTAATTTCATGTAGCCGAATAACCAGGATAAATAGCTCGTCAAAGAAATTGCCATGAAAATATTTGTAGAAAAGACAAAGGGAAGCCATATCACGTCTGTGAAAAAGTGACAGGAATCGAGGTGCCAACACAGGACCGATCACATTGCAGATCCGTCTTTGGGTTTTGTTGAGTACCTCGAGTAGGTGTGCCAGACCATTTTTCCTAAAAGGGAAAGAGAGTCACTTATATTTGCAGCACACATTCTATTTAAATGTTTTTCGGTTTTGTTTTATCTTACATTTCATTTCTTTTTCTCAACACACTTTTACTTTGACTTTTATTCTAAAAAGACGACGTCTGTCCCGTAATGGGTGTCACATTTAGCTTAGGAAATGTGTATGTAAATGTAACAATTATTATGGGACAAGAGGTAGTAGGTCTATCCTTATCTAATATCTTCCTATCCTTATCTAATATCCTTTCTTTCTTTCTTTCTTTCTTTCTTTCTTTCTTTCTTTCTTTCTATTCGATTGATCCACCAGACGCCTCTAGCTAAGCAATCACCTTTGCCCTTAATTTTCCATTCTGTTCTTTATTCTTACTTTCTTCCTCTTCTCTTATACATAATTTTTTCTTTCTCTCTCACGTAACTTTTTTTTATTTCCTTGTTTTCTTTTTTTCGCCTCTTTTTTCCGAAATTCACACTCCCCTCTTGGTTCATTTCACTTTTCATATTTCCGCGAAATTTATCACGCTTACACATATTTTTAAAAAATCGAATTCACTTCATGTAAGGCAGTAAAGCACAAGGGATTATTGGCTGTGAGAGAATTAGAAAAAAGAAGCATTATTGAGGAGAGGGAACAATAGAAGAGTAAGCAAGAAGACAGTGAATAAAAATTGACAATGCATTCCAATTTTTGAAGATCAAAGTTGACTGGAAAACATGGTGATGGAAGAGAGTTCCATCAGTGAAAAGTGTGGGAAAAGAAACTGTTAGCATAGAACTTGCGGTTAGATCTAGCCAATTCAATTGTAAGCCGATGTGATCTTGTTGCCAATCTAGTACTGCGATTAAATTCATAAAGTCTAGGTACTATAGCGGGGAGCTCATCCAAACAATTACCATAAACATCCGAGGTAAAGAGGACAAACTACATCCGCGTCCTGGGTAAGATGATAAACTACATTCAGCCGCATAGCATCTGATCGGGAGGTTTTGAGGACTACCTCTTAATTGCTGGTGTTCCCATGTCCACCCTGAGCCGGAGTGGTAGTACTTCTTAGGGTCCCAACTATGGGCAAACAGTTAATCCCCAAACTGGGGTCAAAACACTATGAAAGTCTAAAAATAGGTTTTAATACCAGCAATAATTTTTCGACGAAAAATTATTACCAGCAATACATTATTACCAGCAATACATTTTTGAGGAAAAATATTACCACCTATAAAAATCTTGTCAGCATTAAATAATCCATTGAGGTTGATATGCCGTGAAACAAACCAAACCAATTACCATTTTACAGAGTTTAGAAGACAAATCTAAGCATTGTAAAAAGCCATAAATAAGCTAGGAAGCAGGATGAATAGCGACTCAGATTGAGAAATCGATGTTCGAATTCCAGTCGAGATTGTTGTATTCACCTACGTGCAAATGCCTTTGGTATGAACCCATCTCTTCTCTGGTCCTAAAGGAAAATTCTGAATTGCCCTGGCCCAATGGATAAGGCACCGACCTCCTAAGCTGAGATTTTCGGGTTCGAGTTCCGTCGGGTGTTTGACTTTTTGAGAAGGAGGTAGGTTGGAGTAATAGATAGCGGCTCGGATTGAAGAATCTGAGAGCCGAGTTCGAATTCCAGTCGAATCTATTACATTCACTTACGTGCTAATACCTTGGGAAAGGTTTGAATCCTTCTCCTCTCAGCTATGGGTAAATAGCAGGACAGCTTTGGATGGCAACTGGTCTACCGCAGAAAGAAGTGGCAACCTACTGCCGTGTCAGCCAGTCATGTATCACGCATGGCACATAACTGACTGATTGACGCTCATCAACCTGCAATTGGCCAAGCGTAATGAGTACGACTACATCCCTGAAGACATATTCAATCGGTGAGGTGTTCCTCCACCACATGTGAGTAAGCCCTGGATATGGATTAAATGCAACAGAATGTTTAAATATGGATTTAAGTTGAAAAAATAGGATAATCTTTATAAACTGAGCATTTGGTCGAAAAGCGACCAGGTCTTGTCAAAAGGAAATGATTTCCTCTCGTCCAATTATTAGTTTTTCGATCGATATATAATTATTTATAATAAATCACCGAGACAAACTTTCTCTACTGAAAATTAGATTCAAGAGTTGGTCGAAAATATTTTCAGGTCAAAATCTGCGGCGGGCGGAGACATTACATCACCATCGACTCATCACCGCCGAATCACAATTGGTCAACTCATCTCCGTGACAACTCACGATCAGCCTACTTAGCGCGAGAACAAATTCAACGCTGGCGTATCTTCAGACCGGGGGTCGGCTGTCATAGTATGCACATCTATTAGTCGTAGAGATTTTGAAAGTCTGGCTGTTTGTCTCAGTGATTTATTACTTACAACAGTCTATTTGGGTAACTGGTGTTTCATTTTTAAACTTTTCATCACACCAAAAATGGAAATTCTTAGTCAAAGAGGAAAATAAAAATTTGTACACGAAGATAATTTATTTGTATTTGATAAGGTTAGTAAAAGAGACAGCAACATAAAATGATGGCGTTGTGACCAAGGTTTTAGGTACAATTTAAGGAGTCATACGAAGTTTGGGGCAATTATTAAGGAAGTAAACAAGCAGTCCCACAATTCTTCAGTGGCCAATGTAGAAATGGCTAAAGTTAACACAGCCTTGAATCGTCGTTTGTTTGCTTAATGGCATATCAAATGATCCTTAATAAATTACTTTTTATCGGTTTTAAAGTTATGTTTAAAAATGATTCTTAATAAATTCACTTTTATTTGTATTTAAAAAGTCGACGAAAAATTTCATAGTATGCATGTCGTTGAGTTGCCTTCGCATTGAGTAGGCTGGTGGTGAGTTGTCCTGGAGTTGAGGTGTCATGAAGATGATTCGGCGGTGTTGATTCGGCGGTAATGAGTCGTCCTTCACCCAATCGGCGGAAATTCACCCAAAAGCTATCGGTCTGATAGATGGCAACAATTTATTGCAAATCATGGCGAATATATAATTGAATAAATTCTAATTGCACTTCATTTTCTACAAAATGGATAAACATAGATGGAAATTATTCCGCCAGTCACGATGAACAAATGTCCCCTCGGGGTGGCTCTGTGCCTTTAAAGAGGATTGAACCTTAAGCTCACACTTGACATGAAGAGGAACTTGTACATACGATCCATCTCTAAAGATGCAAGAAAAATGGTCGGCTACCTGTACAGCTCCTGTAAAGTACCTGACTCCTCCTGCTATCTTTACAAGAGCCAGATCAGGCTGAAAATGGGGTACTGTTACCATATTTGGGATGGGGGGGCTCCCAGTCCTCACTTTTCAGTCTCGATAGAGTTCAAAAGCGTCTCAGAGAACGTTTGTGTGACAAATTATTCCCCCCCCCCTTCGAAGCCCTCTTTCACAGTCGGGACGGGAAAAGCCTGTCACTGTTCTATCGCTATTTCCCTGGAAAGTGCTCAGACGAACTATATTCCTTTGTTCCGCGAGTTCTAACATTCAAAGCCAGGACTCGCCATGCCACTCATATATATATATATATAGAAAGAAAGAAAGAAAGAAAGAAAGAAAGCAAGAAAAGACTGCGATAGATATGAAGAGATAGTTTTAGATAAATATGTATGAAGAGATAGTTTAATAAAGATCGATAGAAATAAAGACACAGTTTTAGATAGATTTATAGATAGACATGAATAGACACATTTAGACTGAGATAGATAGATAGATAGATAGATAGATAGATAGAGATAGTTCTAGATAGATAGATACATAGATATAAAGAGACAACTTTAGATAGATATATAGGTAGATATGAAGAGACAAAAATAGATATCAACAGACAGAGATAGATAGATAGATAGATAGATAGATAGATAGATAGATAGATAGATAGATATGAAGAGACACTTTTAGATAGATAGAGAATGAGAGATATATGAAGAGATAGATAGATAGATAGATAGATAGATAGATAGATAGATAGATAGATATGAAAATATAGTTTTAAATAGATTCATAGATAAGAACAGACTGTCAGATATGAAAAGATACGTTTAGATAGATATAATTTCAGATAGATTGATTGGTATGAAGAGAAAGTTTTACAAAGATAGATATAAAGACAGTTACAAATCTGAAAAGACATTTTTAGATAGATAAATTTTTCGATTTGATGCTGTTTATCAACGGACAGATATAGATGGATAGTTTGAGAGAGAAAAAGAGAGAGATTGAGAAAAAATTTTTTAGATGGCTATGAACAGAATGCGATAGATAGATATGAAGGCATAGATGACAGATATGAAGTGATAGTTTTAAAAAGATAAATATAAACAGACAGTTTTAGTTAGATAGATTTATTGATAGATATAATAAGACAATTATAAACAGATTTATCAACAGACAGGTAAGTAGACAGATATATATGAAGATAGATAGATAGATAGATAGATATGAAGAGATAACAATGAATAGGTATATATATATATATATATATATATATATATATAGATAGATAGATAGATAGATAGATGAAGAGAGATTGTTTTGGATAGATATATTTAAAGATAGATATGAAGAGATTGAAATAGATATATTTGATTTATAGATAAATATGAAGAAACTGTTTTAGCTATATATATATATATATATATATATATATATATATAGATAGAGAGAGAGAGAGAGACAGACAGACAGAGATAGAGACAGATAAAATTATCTGTCTCTATCTCTGTCTGTCTATATATATATATATATATACAGAATGTGAGAGAGAGAGAGATAATGAAATGAGATAATTCTTCTTGATTTCCAGTATTTGCTTTTTCTTTTATTTGTCACTCTGTAAGTTGTACTTTTAAACATCATACAAAGTCATACACATGAAACTACACATGCGCGGCCGTATATATATATATATATATATATATATATATATATATATATATATATATATATATATATATATATATATATATATATAATGCATTTTGCCCTATTTTTCCTCATTTCCCTTTGTTTCTTCTTTCATTTTTACTTTATTTTCTTTTCCTGGTTCCTTTGTCTCTCTGTCTTCCAAGAGCGATAAGTACTTACCGCCATTGGTCGCCCCATTTAATTCTTTCACAAGGCGATAGGAGGTGAACCGCGTAATGGCTGAGATAACACTTCCTGTGAGATCTTGCAAACGAGAGATGGGAGGTACTAGAACGCCTTGGCTCAGTTGTGAAGAAACAGAGAATGAAAACTCACAGAGTAAAGAGTAGGAGGTCAACGTGCATTGATATGGAAAGTAAAGAGACGGAGATGAGGAAAATAAGTTAAACCGAATTAGCTAGAATAAAGGAGAACTGGGATAGGACTATGTTTGTAAATATAGAAGAACAGAAAGTCAAAAAAGTATAGAAATTCACAGTGATTCTGAGTATCATCCACAGTGAATAGGGAAAAAAACGTTTAGTTTACATATAGTGAGTGTGTCAAAAATACTTTTACAAAATTTGGGGGCGTGTCCCTCACACCAAAACAAGGAGAAAATTCCATATAAACATATGTCCACAAACCCTTCGTTTTTGAATTATGAAGTTTAAAGAAAGTTTACATTAGATTACACTACATTGCCATGTAGCCTAGTTTACATTTGTCATTCGTGTACATTTGTGTCTAGTCTGTCTTCAACGTATGTAGCAGTGATTTAACTGAAAAGTGTTCCGTTTAACAGTGGCATGATATTCATGTCGTGAGCAGGTAGATATGATTTTTACACTCGTCAGTGTGAATAGAAATGGACCCGAGGCTGCACGGTTGTATCAGATTACATTTCCAGACCGAAGACAGTTGAGTCATCCAACATTTGATGCTGTTTATCGTCGCGTTTCTGAAACAGGATACATTGTGCCACCAACAAGGACCACACCCCGCCCAAATTCTGTAAAAGTATTTTAATGCACCCTAAATATGCATATATATATATATATATATATATATATATATATATGTGTGTGTGTGTGTGTGTGTGTGTGTGTGTATTTAGGCAGCAATCCTTCTTTCATGCACATTTCATTGAATACCACAGACAAGGTGTTATGATTTAGTTTTTTATACAATTTCTCATGTGATCTAATATTTTTTTCTTTTCAGGTGATAAATTATATAAAAATTGTCCGAATGTTCTTTTTATCCGAGTACTTTCGGCTATACATACACACACACACACACACACACACACATATATATATATATATATATATATATATATATATATATATATATATATATACGTGTGTTTGACACGAAGACTCACTCTAAACCTTTCTGGCCATAGCTCAATTAGACCTCATTTAAATATTCATGGCGACATACCGGACGCTATTCGTAACATACTTGTCGACAACACAAATATAATAGCATTATTTAAATGCAAAAAAAAGGATAAAAATAATGGAAGCCTTATTAAAAAAAATCAACAACACAATATCAGCTATGAACATGGACACAATATCTTGACTATGTTTTGAGAATGAAAACATTATATAAATACATACATGCAACAAACTATTTCTTGTTAACAGTCAACCTTGAAAATGGGTAAATGTATAATCGAAAGCGCTTGGATAAAAGGAACATTCGGACAGTTTTTATAGAATTTATCATCTGAAAAGAAAAAAATTACTAGATCACATGAGAAATTGTATAAAAAACTAAATCAAAACACCTTGTCTGTCGTATTCAATGAAATATATATATATATATATATATATATATATATATATATATATATATATATTGGGGAAATTGTATGATAAAATGAAAAAGGTTTACTTGTGATGCGTTCCGTCTTTCAGGACTTCATCGGACTAAATTTGTTATGTTGGCACGTATACACATGTGTACGAACAAGGGCTGCTGGGAATATTAGATTTTTTAAAGAATATCCAGCCGAATTCACGTAGTCTTTTTCTTTCCAACTCTTTTGTTAGTAGGTATCCCACACTGTGATAATAGGAGATCTGTCAGGAATGGTGAAATGTTGCAAGAGTCAGGACGCAAATTTATTGTAGGCACACTCTAGACATTTACGTCGCAGTGAATTATTTTTCTCCTTTGATCACAGTAGCACTTTTTATGTCAACATTGAGGTCAGTCTCAATGCATTTGATGTTTTGTAAGATGTCCCGTTTTTGATAATATAATCTTTTATTTAGATTCCTTGAGCTTTCTCATATGTATTTTTTGTGACAAATATTACTGGGACGGAGTAAAGTCGTTCTTCATGTTTTAGCTTATTGTTTTGTTTATTATTGACTAAGTCTTTTATTGTTTGGGATGTAGTAGTAACAAATTTTATGTTGAGTTTAGATAGATTCTTTTCGATTATAAATATGATAGAGTTAGTTGGTAGGACAATATATTCTTTTTATTCATATCAATACAAGAATGATTAAAAAGAACCGGCAAGGTCTGTCTGTCCAATTTTTTGTTGCATTTTCCCAATATTCGGATGTGTTGATTATTGTGCTAGTAGTGGATAAACTGTCCAAAGTTCATATTTTGCTATTTTTGTTCAAGTACTTTCGAATTTTACAATCATTATCAATAACCAATGTGGTGTCTGTGTGGTAGTCAGAATTCTTTTGTTTACATCCTGGTATTCCTTTTGTGCGGTCTCGTTCGCAATTGCACATGACGTCACACGATACCATTTCAAACGTCCAGCTTCCCAAAGAAAACCAGGATTAATATTTTATCATATGTCCACTCTTACTACTACTACTACTAATCCTCCTCCTTCTACTACTACTAATAATTACAATAATAATAATAAAAATAAAAATAATAAGCTTCTGATCATTAATGACAAACATTGTCATGTGTATATTTTGACTTGAGTAACTATCATGTTCTGTGCCATAGGTTTTCTTGTCAACTGCCCAACTAGTGGGACATATCCATTGGCTCTTGATCTCTGTTCATGAGCGGGAATAGTGGACGGAGGCGATCAGCGCTGCGTGTCGAGAAGATTGTATCGAAAGGATCGTTTGAAGTTTTAATGATGAATTAGCCAAGGCGACTAGATAGATGTGAACTTCCTCAAGCAGAAACGATCTGAGCGCCCTAGGTTGGAATATGTGAAGGTATTTCTAACTCGTTCCCACTTGTAAATTCCCGCGCTGCTTTTAACAGATTCTATAGCCACAAAGGACACATTTGGCTGTAATCCATGTGCCTGGTATACCCTTATTAGACTGGGTGTATGAGTATCTTGAGCATCGTACATTTTTACCCCGACATCACCTCCTAGTCCTTCTACTCTCTCTATCTCTCTCTCTCTCTCTCTCTCTCTCTCTCTCTCTCAGTAATGCTAATGATGATCATGATGGCGATGATGATAGCAATAATTGAAATAATATGTGAAATAATAGATCAGCAGCCTAATAATCAAAAAGTGTTTATTTTACATAAAAAAGATATATTAGGTTGGTGCAAAAATAATGACGTAATAATGTCGTTTTTTGACGTATTTTTTAACGTCAAAAAACGACATTATTACGTCATTATTTTCGCACCAACCTAATATTTGTCTATATTTCTGAGATGAGGTATTATGTACACTATTTTAAATTATTCGGACTATTGTCCTCATCTTTGTTGTCATATTTATCACAACGTGGTTAGATCCAGTGACAGGACCCAAAGAGTTGTGAGTTCAATACCTGGATAAGGCAGTGGAGAACGTGGAGAGGTGAACTTAACAGGAGATAACTGATAACTGACATCCATTAGACATGGCACGTGGAACTAGAACAGTCTACCCTAGCGAACGAAATAAGTTCGACATTCAGAAGAAGGCTGGGGCGTAGAACGGCCGAAACGTTGAGATAAATATGGCAACAAAGATGAGGACAAAGGTATATTTTCGATCAGAATCTCTTCCTTGTCCACGCACTTGATCCAACGAATCCGTCATCATTCACTTACATCAAATAGCATAAAGGGAAAATTTGGGATAAAAAAAAATAGGTTATGTATTTATTGATCCACCCTCGTAATTAAACACAAAGAGAATTGATTATATATATATATATATATATATATATATATATATATATTAGTACATATATAAGCGTACCTACGTTTTGGCGTGCGGCTATAGTGTAGCTGGGTTGTGTTCCCTGTTCATCTGGAACACCACCCAACGAAACTATAGTCACACGCCAAAAACGTAGGTACGCGTATATGTACTAATTAATACATATCTTTGCTCTATATAATAGCATTGACCACTATTACACCTCATGCGTAAATTTGACGATTATTTATTTGCTTGCCAGTGTATGCACACCAGCACACGCGCACACGGTTGCTTATATTTGGACGTTTCATTTATCCACTCTACAACTATACATATATATATATATATATATATATAGGGTACTTGATTGGTTTTTATATTGTCCACCTCACAGTATAGTTGAATCAGTTGGCCACTGTTTGTGGGAAAAAGAGAACCATTACGTAATTCACCCCGCCAGAGATTTAGAAACGACATGCTCTACTGCTTACCATTCGCGACGAAGATTTAAGAGTTTTTGAGTGTTAATCTAAGGACACTGCAAAGAATTCGGAAAGAATTGGATGAGTCTAATCTTGCCACAGAGCCTCAGACTAAACACGGAGGTAGGGCTACCCTGGAGGAAGAGGGTGGCTGCTGGAATAACCTATGTCTGGCAAAATGATTCTGCACGATGCCGCACAAGCAGGGGAACCCAGTCATGCCTGTTAGACAATTTCTGCGACCATATCATCTCTTACATCTGGCGACCAAACCCTTTAGGCTGTAACCCCCTTGATTATTAGGTGTGGAGCGCAGTTGAGCGAGAGACCAACAAAATTCCTTGTAAAACCAAATATGAACTGAAGACAAGAATTATGGCAGCATTTACCAACTTAAACAAGGAGACCGTCCGGAAGAGATGCAGGAGATTCCGAAGTCGATTGGAGGCCGTGGTTGAAGCCAATGGCGATTTTTCTAGAATAAAATTACTCTTTTGTATTTCAAGATATTTTGTGTAATTTTAATAAATATATCTGTTAAATGGGATGTCGGTATTATTTTTATATTTATTATATATATTTGCGTAATATAACAATTTATCTATCGCACCTTGTAGATAGATAGATAGATAGATAGATATGAACAGACTGAGATAAAATAAAGATAGGTATGAATACACTGATATAAGAGAGAGATTTATAGAGAGGAATAACAGATATGAACACACACACACTCATATGAGTGTGCGTTCATATATATATATATATATATATATATATGTATTCAGTTCGTTGTGTGGTGTTCCCACTTCATCGAACTGGGAACACCACGCAGCAAACTGAATATAATATATATATATATATATATATATATATATATATATATATATATATATATATATATTAGGGGGGACCGAGATAGATTAATACATACATAGACCGTAATAGAATGATTTGGATACTGTCTATATCTACAATCATTAAAATTTAGGCTAGAATCAAGCTAACAAAAATGTTTTGCTATATGAAGTTTCTAATTTCAGTGTGTGTGTGTGTGTGTGTGTGTGTGTGTGTGTGTGTGTGTGTCCTCACGCGCTCTCGCGTGTATGTGTGTGATTGTTAGTATTCGCTCAGCTTTGCTTAGTAAATTAACTGTAAGTTTGCTACACAGGTCTCGGGTTGCTTTCAGTACGCACTGTTCCTAAGTAGACGAGTAACCACTTAGACAAAGTACGGAGCGAGATCATCACTGTTTAACTTTGACGATCTGGCGGGAACCGGTGCATTTCAGCGCGTCTTGACCGTTTGTCTAAATGCGCGTTCGAAAGCGAGACTACGCGTCTGTGTAGGTGGGCGGGTGTGTGTTTAACGACCTATCCTCAACATCCCGGATATTGCTCTTCTCTATTTCAAGTGACATCAGTTTGCAAATGAATCTTCTCTCGACTGAAGTGACGCGTCATTTACTTACCAAATATGTAAATACGACTCACCACTCGATCTTTTGAAATCGCCTCAATCGTAAACAGAAATGACAAAGCAAATCTTTCTCCTTCTGCTACATGTTTACCATTTCGATGGAAGCATCAATCGTGAAACTCCACCGCCTTAAAATCTTGACTCATATCTCACTGGACAAGCAAAGAAAAAAAAATTGCATTTTATTCAAGACATTTTGTGCGTTGATTGATTGATTTCATTTCAACTGGCGTCTGAAAATCTATGGTCTCTGTAAATGTACTATCGTCAACTTGCCTAACCCTTTTCATTCTAAAATTAGACTGAAAGACGATTGTACAATGTGTTGGCACTGTTTTTTTTTTTTTTTTTTTTCTTGATTTAATTTTGTTGTATTTATCCTGTCTAAAGTTCTGACATGAAGCAGACTGAAATATGTATGTATGTATGTATGTATGCATATATATATATATATATATATATATATATATATATATAGAGAGAGAGAGAGAGAGAGAGAGAGAAAACAAAGAGATAGATAGAAATAAAAAGAGCATGGGATAGGTAAATAGAAATAAAAAACGATAGATAGATAGATAGATAGATAGATAGATAGATAGATAGATAGATAGATAGATAGATAGGGAGAGAGAGAGATAGATAGAAATAAAAGAGCATGTGAAAGGTAAATAGAAATAAAAAACGATAGATAGATAGATAGATAGATAGATAGATAGATAGATAGATAGATAGATAGATAGGGAGAGAGAGAGAGAGATAGAAATAAAAGAGCATGTGATAGGTAAATAGAAATAAAAACGATAGATAGATAGATAGATAGATAGATAGGGAGAGAGAGATAGATAGAAATAAAAGAGCATGTGATAGGTAAATAGAAATAAAAAAAAGATAGATAGATAGATAGATAGATAGATAGATAGATAGATAGATAGATAGGAGAGAGAGAGAGAGATAGAAATAAAAGAGCATGTGAAAGGTAAATAGAAATAAAAAACGATAGATAGATAGATAGATAGATAGATAGATAGGGAGAGAGAGAGAGAGAGATAGATAGAAATAAAAGAGCATGTGATAGGTAAATAGAAATAAAAAACGATAGATAGATAGATAGATAGGGAGAGAGAGAGAGATAGATAGAAATAAAAGAGCATGTGAAAGGTAACTAGAAATAAAAAACGATAGATAGATAGATAGATAGATAGGGAGAGAGAGAGAGATAGATAGAAATAAAAGAGCATGTGATAGGTAAATAGAAATAAAAAATGATAGATAGATAGATAGATAGATAGTGAACAGACATAGATAGATAGATAGATAGATAGATAGATAGATAGATAGATAGATAGATAGAGAGAAATAAGAAACAAGATGTAGATGAATGGACAGACATAAAAATACAAGAGGTAGGTAGATAGATAGCAATAAAAAACAAGAGATAGCTTGCTAGTTAGCTAAATCGATAGATATAAAACACAAGAGATAGATAGATAGATAGATAGATAGATAGATAGATAAAAAGAAATAAAGAACAAGAGATAGAACAAGTGATAGATGAATAAAAATAAAAACAATAGATAGCTAGATAGATAGAAATAAAGATCAAGCGATAGATATTAGGTTGGTGCGAAAATAATGACGTAATAATATCGTTTTTTGACGTTAAAAAATACGTCAAAAAACGACATTATTACGTCATTATTTTTGCACCAACCTAATAGAAAGAATGAAAGAACGAAAATAAACAATAGATAGATAGATAGATAGATAGATAGATAGATAGATAGATACGTAGTTCTTTTTTGGTGTTGGTCACTCAATACATGGCTTAATATGGAGGGTTCCTGAATGAGTTTGCTGAAAGTAAATTATAGCTGACCCAACTAAATAAAATAAAATAGGTTAAGATTGTAGTAACCGGAAAAGCATCCTCTCGGGAGTCTGTTCCACAAAGTAGCGGCTCTTGGAAAGAAGCTATTCGAATCAAACTTCCTTCTTACGAATGGAATACGAAAGTAATGAAGATGTTGCATTATCTATAGTAGAAATAGTGCTTAGGTAAACATAAGGGTCAGTTTGACATCGGTTTTTGCAATGAGTATTCATTAGAATTTCTACAATGACATATATTGATATTATCGTTGTTTGTTGCTTTGAAATGATTGTTACTACTCAGATTTTTGCATTGGTTTAACATTTTATTATTATGCTTTTTAATATTTTTTTCAAGGTTATCTGTACAACTATAACTTAGTTTCAGTGTATTTGTTAAAACTTTCACCGAGAGAATTATTTCTGGGGAAGTGTTTGTCAATTTAATTGACGAACTTCTTCCCTAACTAACTAATCATTTGGTTAAATGGGGGGGGGGGGGGTACTAAATAATTTTTCTGATTCTATTTTTATTCCTACGATCGCTATTGCTATGTTTTATATATTTGATGTCAGTGTATTTATAGCGTCTATTTTTTAAGGCAGTGGTATAAACTTTACTATGCTTGTAAAAGACATCTTCACTGGAAGAGTTATTGCTAATCCTTTATTCTATATAAGAGGGTATGCGTTTGATTACGGATGGAGGGTGGTTAGAATTCGGGTGGATGTATATTGGATTGGTATTTGTTTTCATGTAAGGTTGGAGTACATTATTAACTAGTTTTAATGAAACATCAAGGAAATCTATTTTTTTAAAATTGGTTTTGATCTTAACTTTAAGGTTTTGACTTTTAAATTCTCTCTGTATTAATTTTCTGATTTTGTCAGCTTTAATTTTTGTGGAATTTTTCACTAGCATAAGCCATCATCTCCATATAACCCTATCTCATCGATGTTGATATCGTGGTAGGCACTAAGATTATATAAGATAAATAAACCAACAAGGTCGAAAGAATCAGCAGAGTCTAACGATCCCATGGAAATATCGAATTAGACAACAGAATTGTTCTTAATCCGCTGTCCTTTGATATGGATGAGAACAAATTTTCTGCAGTTCATAATAATATCAAGCTCCTCATTGGAAAGATCTGAGTTCTCTTTGGAAAATTCCAAAGCAAAACTAAAAAGATCCCTGGAAATAGATGGGTAACAATCCACGACATCAAATTGGATAAATGAACAATTTCTTTTATCGCTTATATCATTGAACCAATTTATGACATACGACATATTGATCAATTGTAAAAGCCTAAGGCGGCTTCTAACCAGCTGGTTGACTCTATTAAGAATGAACCTACTAATACTTCCATTGATAATATAGGGTTATATGGAGATGATGGCCTCATATCAGTGAAAACATTCAAAAAAATTAAACCCTAGATGAAAACAAAGGCCAATCCAATCCAAATTCTAACAACATTCCATTCGTAATCAAACGCATACCCTCTCCGATAGAATATAGGATTAGCAATAATTCTTCCAGTGAAGATGTCTTTTACAAGCATAGTAAAGATTACAACACTGCCTTAGAAAAATAGTGACTATAAATGCGTTGAGATCAAATATATAAAACATAACAGATAAAAATGATAAAAAAAGCAAAGAGACGCAGATTAATGGTATGTTGTGTTTAATCTACATCTCTTTGTTTTTATCAATCTATCTATCATATTTTTATTATTTCTATCTTTATCTCTGAGGAAGCTTGAGTAAAGTGAAACATCTTAGATCATCAGAGACGGCAGGATGCTGGATATTTCTTCGGCTATTTATATATATGGGTCAGTGTTGCATTGTGGGTAATTTATTCTGGCGATTATTTTGCGGGAGTGGCTTGTTTATTTATTTATTTGTTTGGGTTAATTTATTTTACTTGATTTTCATTTTCATTTTGTATTATTTATTCTTTTCGTTTTTTTAATGCTTTATTAACGTAGTTTTTACTACGTTAATAAAACATAATCCCCTCACCAATTTTTTTAAATTGGTGAGGGGTTTGCTTAACCCAAACAAATGAATAAATAAGCAAACAAGCCACTCTCGCAAATAACCGCCAGAATATATTACCCACAATGCACCACTGACCCATATATATAAATAATCGAGGAAAAATCTTGCATTCACGGCCTGACGATTGCGTCCAGCATGAAACAGCCTGTCGCCCCTGAGTGTTGACTTCAATTTTCACTTTTATATTTATATTTACATACGCTTTATCTCTGATATTGAGCACTTTATCCCATAAATATAGCACACCTTTAAACTATATTTTTCATATATATATATATATATATATATATATATATATATATATTAACACAATTGTAATTTTACATAACTAAAAAACTGATAAATAAAAAAAATATCTAACTCTACTATAGTTTGAATACAGATCCTTGTTCAAAAATGTTAGCAGTTATGTAGAAAGTCGTTTTTTTGTGTTTTTTTTTTCATCGGAGGTTTAAAATTTAAAATTTTACCGGCACATGTGTTTATATAATGCACCGACAATTTGACAGCACATTGACTGTAAAAACATTAACATTCTCTTTTCTGATTCATGTTGATTCTTTCAGTTTTCCTGTGAATGGTGATTTTCTAAGAGTAGCTTAGTTGTGGCACAAGGCCGAAAATATGGGGCATCCAGTGAGGACCGAACACACGGCTTAGTCGTAATTTTTATAGTGGGAAAAGCTTGCTAACCATTACGTCACGTCGAGGTGCACAAGATTTTCTAAACGTAGGTTAGATCTGGCACAAGGCCAAATATGTGGGGCGCCCAATGATGATCTCAATTTTTCTGTGGAATTTTATAATGTGCTTGTTTAATGCTTCCACTTGCTGTGGACGTACTTAAACGTCTAGGGAAACTGTTGACGAATAAATACGTCTACGTTTATAACACAAAAACAGAGAATGTCTCATATCGAGAATATTTAACATTGAAAAACATAAGGAAAAAATTAATTATTTTTAATAATATGTGGAAATCTCCGCCTTTTACCTGAAGACGGTCGCGAGACCAGAAACACGTGTAGTAAAATTATGGAAAATAAAGCATAATATTTTTTTCTAAAAAAAACACATTACAACCAAAAATGTTTGCGGCACCTCTCTTCTCTTCTTTTTAATATATATATATATATATATATATATATATATATATATATATATATAAATATAGATCAAATTTTTTTCAGGTAGACTTGGAATTCGTTAATTTCTTGACGCGTCTGCCTCTCCTTGAATTCCGAACACCACAAATTATACGAATTATAAGAGTCGAATGCACGTGATGCATGACTGGCCAATGAAAATGAAACAGCACAAAAGTAAAAGTACCAAAATTTCTTTCTTTTTGTTATATAAGAATAAAGTGTCGCTGCCAACACTTGAGTTTGAACATAGATCGCCAGTGAACAAACAAAAGGCGATCCCATTATTGAATTAAGTAGACCACGTAATCATATAGGAAACGCATAAGTAGGAAGTCGCGTGGCGTCTAAAGGATCGTTATTTCTATTCTATCCTCTATTACTATACGGGTCGCTATTTCTACTCTATCCTCTATAACTATACGGACCGCTATTCTCTACTCTATTCATTATACTATATCTCTATACGGATTACTATTCGAGCAAGTATTATCGAGCAAGTAATTTATTAGTACGAGTGTTATACGAAGGCGTCTGATACCAGTATTGTTCAACGGCGTACTATAACTGTATCTGCGATTACAAAGTCTCTACTACAACGAGCATTACAAAAATGACAACGAGTATTCGTGAGCAGGGCATTACAAAACTGGCGACGTCACAAAATTTTTCTCCACATCTCATTCTCTGATGGAGTTTTAATAAAAGTGAAACATGTTAGATTGATAAATATTTCCTATTTGTTCTTCAATTTATCACACACACACACACACACACACACACACACATATATATATATATATATATATATATATATATATATATATATATATATATGGTCTAACTGAAAACGAAACAAATCATTGTTATGCAATAACAAGTCTTTTAAAAGTTTCAAAATGTTGTTGAAATTCTCAGAGAACGCAGAATTGTTTTTGTTTCGCGAATGGCAAAGAAAAAGATGCAAGAATCACAAACCTGATCCTTCAAGGTAAAATGATACGGTGCCTGACCCCCAAAACCCATGGCACAAGGGACAACCTCTATAAACACCCCTCAAGATTTTCTTTGTTATTTCTGGCTTCGTGGGGCGATAACACGGTCCGGCTTTCTTGTCTGGACTGCCATTTTGGGTGTGTAGATTTGTATCACGGTTTTCCTAAGGGGCGATGAGAAGTGAAAGGCGAGAGAGAAATGTCAGGAGAAATATTATTGAAGCCCATTTCTGCGGAACAAAGAAAGATTTCACTTATTTCCCAACAGAGCCTATGGTCTCAGATGTCTTCTGACGGCAAAAACGCCAAGTCGTATACTAATTCAGGCTACAAACTTCAATTTAAAAAATAGAAGATAGGTCAATAGGTGCAAACAGGGCTATTCGTCCAGGTATAAAATTAAATTCTCCATTGTTTCTTATAGATTCGGATGCATGGAAATCAATATCTTATCACTGATCTTTTCTTTGAATCCTTGACATGGATCATTATAGGCATTTTCATGAGTTCTTTACGTAACTGCTTTTAATGTTCGTCGAATTTTATATATAATTCTTCTGATCATCTGTAGTTATTGGAGGAAAGAGACAAATTGATCAACCGAAATTTTTATTGGTAGGAAAAAGTGTGAGTAAATGTAAACGATTAGTCAGAAAATGTGTTGTATTTGTTGGGATACGATATCATCAGAGTTATTTATTATGCCACTTGGAACTGTTTATTACGGCGCATGAAACATTTAAAGTATTGTTTATTATGCCACTGGAAATATTTTTGAAAACTGTTTATTATGCTACATGAAATATTTCAAGAAATGTTTATGGTACATGAAATATTTACAGAAATGTTTATTATGTGACATGAAATACTCAAAAGAAACATTTATCATGTTACATGAAATATTTGAAGAAATGTTTATGTGACATGAAATATTTAAAGCATTGCTATTGTGTTGCATTAAATATTTTTTAAATTGTTTATTATATGACATGAAATATTTAAAGAAATGTTTATGTGACAGGAAATATCTAAAGCTTTGTTTATTATACTACGTGAAATATTTCAATAATTGTTTATTATGTTACATTAAATATTTAAAGTATTGTTTATTATATTATATTATATAAAATATTCAAAACAGTATTTATTATGTTACATGAAATATATACTGTTTATTACGGGACATAAAATATTTAAAGAAATGTTTATTATATTATATTATATAACATATTTAAAACAATATTTATTATGTTACATGAAATATATACTGTTTATTACGGGACATAAAATATTTAAAGAAATGTTTATTATAATATATTATATAAAATATTTAAAAACAATATTTATTATGTTACATGAAATATATACTGTTTATTACGGGACATAAAATATTTAAAAGAAATGTTTATTATAATATATTATATAAAATATTTAAAACAATATTTATTATGTTACATGAAATATATACTGTTTATTTGGGACATAAAATATTTAAAGAAATGTTTGTGGTTCATTTGAAATGTTATAAAAAACATTTATTAGGTAAAACATAAAGAAATGTTTTGCATTGTTTATAAAGAAACATTTATATAATATATTTAAAGAAATATTTATTAAAATACTTTAAATATTTAAAGTATTACTTATTACACATCATGAAATATTTCAAGAATTGTTTATTATATTACATTTAATATTTAAAGAAACATTTATTATTGTGCATGAAATATTTAATGTATTCTTAATTATATGACAGGAAATATTGTTTATTATGACACATGAAGTATTTACGTCTAGCTATTTCAATAGCAAAACGATGTGACAATCGAGTAGTACACTTAAGTTCTCGCGGTCGAGGTAGCAGAGAGTTTATTATAACAACTGATATGAAAATATTTATCGGGAAGAGAGAAGGGAGCCACGTCATGGCGGTGGGAAACTGAATAAAGACGAGATGCCAGGTCAGGACCGATAACATTACAGATACTATTTTTAGAATATCGTGATATATAGCCGGAACATCTGACCAGATATGGCAGCAATATTCACTGCACGGATAAATGGTAGACTTATAAATGAGTAAGATGGATTCTGACGAGAAAAAATGTCTGGCACGACATTATAAACCAACCTTCTTAGCAGCAGAAATAGCAACTGATTCAATATAATTGCCCCACGTGAGACCGAATGGACGCAATGACTTGTTCTCCTGTAGGTTAGCATCAGCCATGCTGATGGAGGGCAAAATGATTTTCTATGATGATTAAAGGATAGCATTTTACTTTTGGGTCGTTAGAATTGATAAGCCATTTCTTGCTCCAGTTAACAACAGATTGCAGGTATTTTTCGAGATCAACTTCCAGTTTTACTTTGTTGGATCTATCTGACTTACTATTAATCCTGTAGTATTGTATGTAAATGAGTTACTGCTATAAAAGCAAAGCGCCCCAACGAATGCCAGTCGAACTACCATTTGTTGATCTGAAAACGTCTATTCCAGAGATTACTCTAATTTCATAACAATATGGCGTCGCCGATAGGATCCCTAACCGCGTTGGATGAACCGGAGCACGTAGAAACGTGGATTAGATGTTTTCAGCGTTGGCTAGGGTAAAGAAACTGAAAGACAAGAAAGCCTCTAGAGGGGAGAGTGAAATTACTGATTTAATTTTTGCTTCGGCAGGATGTGAAGGCATAAAGAATACATCCATTATGGTGTACCCCAATACTGGAAGACTTAACATATGAGGAAATTTCAACAATAATAAAAAGAAATATGCGACCAAAAAAAAGCTGATTATTGCTGAGGGAACAAAATTTCTGGAAAACAGACAGAACCCAAACGAAAATATATTGCAATATTTACACAGACTGAAAGAAGCATCAAGATATTGCGAATTTGAAAAAAGTGTATTTGAGAAAAATGCCTGTAGAAGACGAATTGATTCTTCTAAGATTAATTGAAGGCATGTATTACGACACATACAAACACAAGATTTTAGAGCAGCCACAAGCGAATGATATGAATTTAGGAGCAAGTGTAGAATTGTTACAGCAATAGAATTTATTGATGAATTTAATGATTCTAAAAACAATTTGGAAGCATACAACGCAACTGAAATCCTAATTAAGTGCAAATATTGCGACAAAGACCACAAACAAAAGCAAATGTCTATCCCTAAGAAAATTATGTTTAAGCTATAAAAGAAAAGAACATTTCCAATCTGTGTACAGATACAAAAAGAGAATAGAAAGGGTAGAAAATATAAACGCTTATACTGAAAATACAGAAGTATATTCGATAAGAACACCTGCAAAAAGTAGAGACAATAAAATTGAATGGCATAACTTTTCCCAGAGTCTGTCTATATTTCTGAGATGAGGTATTATGTACATTATTCGGACTATTCTCCTCATCTTTGTCGCCATATTTATCACAACGAGTATTTCGTCTAAAAGAAAATAATCATCCGATCTATTTTGAATCTCGAAAAATACCTCATCACATTCTATTTTTGGCAGTTGCAAAACTAAAGAAAATGTAGAACAAGGCATATTGGATAAAGTTACCCAAGATGATAGCAGCTGGGTTTCACCAATTGTTGCGATACGAAAACCCAAATGGCGATTTAAGGATATATCGGGATTATAAATTAGGTGGGAATCATCAGATATACTCTGATTCACTCATATTATCTAACACAGAAATGGCAAGTCATGAATTAGCAGGAATTAAATACTTTGTCGAGGTTGAACTGAAATCGGCATATAACCAAATAGAAATTTATAGAAAATTTAAAGAAGACACTACAATTAATACCCCGATAGGCTTACTAAGATGGACTCGTCTTCTATTTGAAGTTAAGACCTCAAGCCATATTTTTCAAAAAGCAGTTAAAAAAAGTTCTATTGGCGGGGTAAAAATACAATCTTATATCAAGACGATATCGCCTTGATATAAGATTAGCATAGGCGCTTACAGTAAAGAGGAATGAAAAAATTGAACAAATTTTAAACAAATTAAAAAATGCTGGTATGACGATAAATGTGAGCTAAATTGCGATAAAGTATCATCTTTTTGATACCAAATATGTGAAGAAGGAATTTTACCAGACAATAAAATGATAAATAAAATATCGGAAGTATTTACATAAAAAAAAAATAGAATTCTTTCTGTGATTTACCCTTTTTTATAGCAAATATCTACCTAGATAGAGCAACATAATAGAACCATTTGCAGAATTACGGAAAAAGAATACAGAATTTTAAAGGCAAAATATAGCTTTTGAAAGCTTGAAAAGGCACTAATATGAAAAACGATTACAAAACTCTTTGATCCCTCCCCACCAAAAAAAGTGACATTGACGCAAGTAAACATGCTGTAACCTCAATCTTATCTCAAGAAGTACATCGAATAATGTATCTGTCAAGAAATTAGTGTCAGCTGAAGCGAACGACTCAGATATTGAGAAAGAAGCGTTAGCAATAGTATGGAGCACAGAGAGAGCTCGAAATGTTTTGTTAGGACGAAATGTTTTATTAAACTCAGATCATAAAACCTTTAGAGTTTATATTTAACCCCAGAAACGAATTACCAATAGTCCAGAATTTTAAGTTGGGCTATAAAACTCGGCCTTTTATTTCGTCATCATATACGTAAAAGGGAACACTATTCCACACGTGGATGCTCTGTGCTGAATACATTTCGACAGTAAAAAATTAGAAAAGTCAAAAATGCAGAAGATAAAATACTTCACGGAGTTGAAACGGACAGGTTACCCCTAAATTGTCTCAGAATGGAAACTATACAAGATCCAGTGTTAAGTAGAATTTCAAACAAAATGAAAAGAAACACATGGAGCAATTCTTGAATGGTCAAAAGATCCTAAAAAGAATCAAGGCATAAGTTAACTGTAGAGAAAGGCATAATATGCAATGAAGATATTATAATACATCCATGAAGTTTAAGAAAAATGTACTGAAAGGTGTACACAGTGATGTACATTGTGGCATAACAGCGGCACAAATGAGATTAAAATTACAAGCGTGGTGGCCAGGATATTCTGGAGATGTCGAAGACTATGTAAAAGATGTCCAAAATTGCTGAAATAAGAAAACTTTCTGTAAAACAAAATTAACTCGTGGCGTAAAGAAAAAGGACCATGGGCTCGGGTACACATGGATCATACCCATGTTAAAGGCACAGGGCTATTTTTAATTTTAGTGGT